AAAGTGAAACTAGTAACAATCCAGATTGGCAAGTACCAAGTCAGAGGAACCATCAGAGTAAGGTACTGGGCATCCCAGGAAGGTTTCCTGAAGGAGGTGATAGCTAGCTGTTTCATGGCTGACATACTCAGGGACACCAAGATATACAGAGAGAGAGCCTTGGCCTAAGAGAGACAATGACAGTATCAATGACCATAGGAAAGGGAGGGGAGGACTCAGTGGGAACAACTGGGTCTGTGGCTGGGCCCTACTCTTTCTGAAACTGCTTCTACCTACTCTCTCCACCCCATGCCTAGGGGAAAGAGTGGTTCCTAAGGGGCAGTTACCCCTTACCCCTGCAGACCCTCTTGACAGGGCAGCTCTAGCTGGTATCCCAAGTATCTGTCCCTCGAGTCTGACCACATCCAGGTTTCCATTCAGTTTCCTCTTCTGGTAAATAGATCACAAAATGTTAATGTGAAAATTAATGATAATGCAAGTAGAGTATCTAGCACTTAGAAAAAACTTTGTCATTGATAGTCATTTTTCTGAGTAGTAGATAATTATCAGAATGAGTATTTCTCTAGTCAGAGGAATGACTTGGCCCATTCTATAGATGAGGAAAGTGAAGCAGTGAGGATGAGACACACACTTCTTTGTATGAGCATGTGGAAAGAAATAAAGAGTCTCTTGCTAAACAGATCTCTTTCCAGAATTCAGAAGTCCTCCTTACAGCAGTTCCAGTTTCTTCTGTACACATATATGTGCAAGCATGCACATGTGCCCTCTCTTGCATTCTAGGAGATTCTCTCCACTTGTGTTTTCAAAGCTGTGGAGAGCAGTGTCTCCTCTCCACCTGTGTCTGTTATGGGAAAACATTGAGCCTTTGGGGCATGAGTACCCTCAATTCAAAGCCTCAAAGGAGACAGTTAACAAGTGAGGGTGGGAGACTTTCTGGGAGGTAGGCAGGTTCCTGTGAGGAAATATCTCTGGGGATCAGTGCCCACCTCTATCCAAATCAAGGGGCATTGAGAATGAACCATCTAACCAGGATGCAGCCCTGTGGTGCTCCAGGGATGTGGTCAACCCAACGCCTGTGTTGGAGATCAAGGGCAGAGCTGTGTTCACATTGTGCTCCGTGCACCGCTCATCTCTGCTAGGGAATAAAAACAAAACCTCGGAGAGAGGACTGGCCTAGGATAGCAGAGACATTGTCTACCCAGGACATGGCCACAGGATAGAGATTAATGCCTATTACACAGGGGAAACCCTGCCCAGGTTCAAGGCCCAGTGCTGACCCTGGCCACCTGTGAGGGCTTCAGAAGTCATAGCTCTTCCCTGGGCCCCTAAGTCCCATCTGTAAAGTGACCTCTAAGGCCGTTCCAGCTGTGCCCTCTAGGAAACCTGTGTCAATGAAGTGTCTGCAGGCTGAAAAGAATGGGGAGGGGCCAAGTAGGATCTTCCCTAGTGGGCACTGAAATTCACAAACAATATTGAGCCCACTTTGCAAAGCTGGCAGAGAGGGTCCCTGGACACTACCATGGTCCAAGAAAAGTGCCTCTGGCCTCCTGGGCCCAGCTTTTCCCCTGCCCCCTCCCTGGTGTCCCTCTGCAGCCAGAAGGAGTAGAGACCCTGCTAAGTCCCTCAAGGAAGATCATAACTGGAGAGAGCACTCAGACTAAGTAGCCTGCAGAGCCCCGGAGACCATGAGTGGGTGGGGGCCAGCATCAGGGGCCAGGCAGACTGCACAAAGGACTCTCGGAGAAGATTGGTGGGAGGAGAATGGGGCCGTTGGTACCAGGTTGGGGGCCCTACCTCAGCCAGGGAGCTCCGTCTAGCTGCCGGCACCGTCCAGGCCACCCTGGGGGCTTTAAGGCTGCAGCCAGATCCTCAGGGGGCGATGTCAATGTGGCCCCTGAGACAGGCAATGGAAGCGCCTGGGTATTGTGTGGGGCAGGGAGGGGGGAGGCGAAGGCGGAGGGAAGCTTGCAGGCAGGCAGGCGGCTGTCCCAACGTGTCTGCTCCCCGCCCCCCTTCTTCAGAACCGGTTTGACCAGTCTGAGGTGCGAGAGGGGGGCTGGAACAATGGGAGTCCTGTGCCTAGGAGAGGTTCGAAGGACCCCAGACTTTGGTCCTCTAGATGGGAGGGGCACTGCTTCTCATAAGAGACAGCCCCCAACCCCTTCTGGAGCTTCTTAAATGTGAGACAGGCTCAGGGGCCTTCTTGGGATTGTGGAGCATCCTTGGGAGGTTCACAGAGACCCTCCTAAGCCTTGGACTTCTGGAAGGTCCTCAGCTCCCTCTGGGAGCATCTGTGAAATGCGAACACTCTACGTTTGGGAAACGGAAAATGTGAAAGTAGGTGATGCTCAGCATCTGACATCATCATGAGCAACACTTCCCCGCTCCCCTTAGCATCATTACCCTTTTTGATGGGTCATCCCTTGCTGCCTGGAACATCCTCTCCAACGGCCTCTTCCAGGAATCCTTCCCAGACTCTACTCCACACCAAGTGAGCCCTCGATGGTTGTTGTTATTGTTAGGTGCCATCGAGTCAGTATCGACTCATAGCAACCTTATGCGCAGCAGAATGAAACAGTGTCCAATCCTGGACCAACCTCACAATTGTTACCGCGCTTGAGCCCATTGATGCTGCCTGCCACTTTGCCAATCCATCTCGATGGGGGTCTTCCTCTTTTTCTCTGAGCCCTGGATTTGTTGTTATTGTTAAGTACAGTGGAGTCAGTTCCGACTCATAGAGACCCTGCACAGGGTTTCAGAGGCTGCAAATCTTTACAGGAGCAGAAAGCCTCATCTTTCTCCCACGGAACAGCTGGTAGTTTCCAACTGCTGACCTTGAGTTGAGCTCTCAATTGTTGTTGTTGTTGTTGTTAAGTGCCGTCGAGTTGGTTCCGACCCATAGCGACCCTGTACAGGGTTTCCGAGGGTATAAATCTTTACGGGAGTAGAAAGCCTCATCTTTCTCCCACGGAGCGCCTGGTAGTTTCGAACCGTTGACCTCAAGGTTCGCAGCCCGATTCGTAACCACTATAAACCAGTTTAAATAGCCAAAATTGAA